CTCTCGCTTCGTACAGGTCCATGTCTTGCTGCTCGGCGTGGAGCTCCATGCATAGGTGCATCTCGAAAATTCGCCCATGAGTGCGTAGAAGGGAGCGTGTCGTGCGCCACTGTGAACCGAGGCCGGTGAGGACGACCGTGATGAACGAATCTTCCGATAAGTGCCCTCCGCTTCGTAAGAGTTTGTCGCGGAAGCCTCTGCAGGGATTGATGTAAGGCTGTAAGTGCCCTCCGCTTCGTAAGCCTCGCGTAAGCCTATGCAGCCTTTTCTCCTTGTTGCATCTGGATTGTCGTGAGTTGCGCCATTAGCCGACTCTGTGTCACGCTGTCGGTTGCCTGATATACACTCTTCAGATTGCAGTATGCCAATTCTGCCGAGTTGACGAAGTTGCGATATGTTCGGATGCTCTGCTGCTCTGTTGCTGTCAGATTGCGCAAGAGAATGGTGAAGGCCATCAGCGACTGATAGGTATAGACTTTCTTTTCCTGAGTAGTTACAGGAAATGGCCAGGAGCCAGTCAAGAAGTTGAGGATTTGCATGCCGTCCATCAGCAATTCAAACTCGAAGCTCCAGGCGAAGAAGTCCTTCCCGTTGAAAGGTGAGGACGTCTGCAGTTTCAGGATGTTGTTAAACTGCTGTTGCATGGTAACGATGTCTGACTGCTTGTCAGCCGTCGTGAATGAGCCTGGCGAAGGTTGGTACGGTTGATGCTGTGTAGGTGGTATGCCTCTTGCATATGACGCGCCGTTGAGACTCATGGGGGCTGTCCCGTTGTTGTTGTTAATGTGTGCAGATTGAGCAGGTGCCGATGGTTCCTCTTAGGTCGACATGAAGGAGAAGAATTTCTTCATCCGATTCGGGTCCATGCCCGTGGAGGAGGCCGCTGGTTGAGTGGAAGCTCCCGTAGCTGCAACTACCTCAGTCTGGAGTCTGGAAACTGGGGGTGCAGAACGGGATCCAGCTGAGGATCCGTTATCCTTAGATGGTGCCATGTCTTGTAATGTCGAGTTGATAACTGAAGTTGTTGTACTTGATTCTTCAAACGAGTTAGAAACTCACTGAGGGAGTTTGTGACAGGAGCGTAGCTTCTGACAGTCTCTCATACCATGTTGGGCTGACAATAGCCTTAGGATCTTTTCAGAATGCAAAGTCCTTGTAATAGAGTGCTTGATAGCACAGCGGAAGTCTTGAGTTGAACCCTTGAATTGGTATATGAGAACAAGTGATTAAGTATAGCAAAGGGATACAAGTTTTATTTAGTAATACAAGAGGACATGAAGAGTCTAGCTGTTTGTGCACTTCAAGGGGTACATTCCCCTATTACGACTCGATAAGGCTACTCGGGTAACCACCCGTACTGTAATATCGGGAAGGTTATTTGTCCTTGCTGTCGCGCAGACTCTTGACGCTTGCGATTCTGGCTGTTGAGTTGCACGGTCAACGGTCTGCGACCGTTGCCCCTTCGCAACCTCTGTGAGGTGTCGTCAATTTGTGTGAATCGTCAGGGGTACTGTAGCAGTGTTGATTCGGTAATCCTCGCTGTTGTGGTAGTCTTCGCATATTTCGTACACTCACGCGAGACCCCGGAAATGCCTTAAGTCATTTTATAATTTCCAACAACGAGGAAACAATACAACACAGGAAACTTCAAAACAGCAGGGAGCATGGATATAGCTAGCCTAGGAGCACACTGTCGTTGTGGCTTGGCAAAGTTGCGACGTGTGGTTCGTAAAATGGAGCGAAGCGCCCAGATCTAGGCATGCAACAGCAAGGCCGGCAATAATGCATGCAGCTTGTCAGGAGACCACATTTGGGACCGCAATTTGAATTTCGTGGAAGAGCTACGCGGTAACCCTGTTATAGCAGTGTACGCTTTACTGACTAAAACCCGTGATAAGGAAATACCATTTCCTTACAATTATATGTTAGAATACTAGAATGATGGAAACAAGAGAGAACAAGCAAGATATAGGGTTGGGTTGTACTCTCTAAGAACATACACCTATTCTAGCCTAAAACTTCTTCATGCAAATGTATGTATAGGTTGACACACCCCCTATGCTAGATAAGGGGTAGTGCTGAGCAAGACGCACACAGCTCAGGGTGGCACTACTAGTCCAACCTCTGAGACAAGGATCCGAAGGCCAATCAGTAAGAGTGCAAACAAGACAGAAGCAAACCAGGGCGGCACTATTACTCTGGCCACTGGAAGAGGAGTGACAAGGCCAGTGAGGGAGAGATATATATAAAGAGGAGTACACAATCAAGGTCCTAGCAAGTGAGAGTCTACCGGAACTAGACCAAGCTGCAAGCAGTGCCATAGATGATCTTTAGGCGCAAGCGCCTTCGTAAAGATATCAGCTGTGCTGGCACCGGAGGCCCAAGTGGACTACACAGGCCTGGCGGCGCTGCTGTAGCTCACGTAGGAGGAAGTACAGCATTTGGATGTGCTTCACTCTGCCCTCAAGTCGAGGCTTTTGACACAAGAGGATCATGGCCATATTGTCAGCGTACAGGACTGGGGCAGAGTTAGGCCGCTCACCTAAGTCGGGTGGCAAGAACGTCAGCCAGCGGAGCTCCTGTGCCGCCATGGCACCGGCATAGATCTCAGCCTCACAGCTAGACTGGGCAATAGATGAGGAGCGAGTGGACCTCCACGAGATGGCACCTGAACCAAGGCTAAAGCAGTAGCATTGGGAGGACCTGGGGGTCTCAGCGACGTTTGCCCAAGAAGCGTCTGTGCGCCTAGTAAGGACCACCGCCTGCGTCCTCCTAGCACTAGCCCCATGCCCGATGTACTCGCTAGATAATGCAAAACCCTCTTAGTAGCCGACCATTGCTGTGGTCAGTGTCTGCCGGTGGCCACAAAGCGAGCCAGGATTCTGAGAGGGTATGCGAGATCTGGACGAGTGCAAGCCATCAGGTATATGAGGTAACCCACCAGCTTTGCGTAAGGACCACTGGGCTCTGCTGACTCCTCAAGAACTGGAGCCGAGAGCCTGTGGTCTACTGGTAGAGGTGAGGGCTGTGCAGAGGAGAACTGAAGACCGAACCTCTGAAGAACGTGGCGCACCAAGCGTGACTGTGTGAGAGCGATGGTGCGTGCACCTCTATCCCTGGAGATTTGCAGGCCAAGGTAGCGGCGCAGCTCTCCTAGGTCAGTGTAGGTGTGTCTCCTCAGCAGCTCGGCCTTCACGGAGGCCAGCGCGTCTCTGTCTGCAGTAGCAAAGACCAGGTCATCTACAAAGACAAGGATGTAGAACGGAGTCTGGCCAGCATGAACAAAGAGCGAAGGGTCTGCAGAGGATGGAAAGAAATGCAGGTCAGCTAGCGTAGCACGCAACGTGTCGTGCCACTCGCGGGGAGCCTGTCACAGGCCGTAGACAGGGTGCCGGAGGAGCCACTGGGTCCTAGGAGGGAAGGTACCAGTAAAGCCCCTGGACTGCTCGTGTAGGCTGCCCTGAAGAAAAGCAGTGAAGAAGTCGAGGGAGTGGAGCTCATAGTCACGCTGTGCTGCTACGTGTAGCAGCGCCCGAAGAGTAGTCATCTTCGAGGTCGGGGCGAAGGTCTGAAAGAAGTCCACCCCCTCTCGCTGACTGAAGCCTCTAGCCACGTAGCACACCTTGAACAAAGGCGGCTCTCTAGGGGGGCACTTCACCTTGAAGAGCCATCGGCCGTCGACTATGTTCACCCCAGGTGGGGGAACTGCGTCGACGTAGGTGCCGGTGGATCTCCAAGATGCCATCTCTTGCTCCATGGCAGCTATCCACTAAGAGGTCCAGGGTCCCGAGGTCGCCTCAACGTAAGTGCGAGGGGTCGGGATATCGAAAGCGTGTAGGGCGCGAGGGGCCGGCTAGGGCGCTAGGGGCCAGCGACGGTGTGAGGGGCTGGCGACGGTGCGAGGGGTCGGCTACGGCGCGAGGGAGGGCCGGTTGGTCGCGAAGGGGCCGGCTAGGGCGCAAGGGGCCGGCGACGGGGCGAGGGGCCGGCTAGGACGCGAGGGGCCGGCTAGGGCGCGAGGGGGGCAACGAGGCGCGAAAGGGTGGGGAGGGGGTGGGGGCGGCTGGGCGCGAGAGGCCGACTAGGCGCGAGGGGCCGGCTACGGCGCGCGGGGCCCGCTACAGCGCGAGAGGGGCCGGCTAGTCGCGAAGCAGTTGGCTAGGCGCGAGGGGACGGCGGGCACGCTAGGGGCCGGCGGACGTGCTAGGGGCCGGCGAGGCGTGGTAGGCTAGGGCGCGGGGCGGAAGCGGGTGGGGGGGGACCTAACCTACTCATGATACCATGTTAGAATACTAGAATGATGGAAACAAGAGAGAACAAGCAAGATGTAGGGTTTGGGTTGTACTCTCTAAGAACATACAGCTATTCGAGCCTAAAACTTCTTCATGCAAATGTATGTATAAGTTGACATTATACTCGACAGAATTGTAACACGAATTTCAGAGGAGTGTGCAGTGCACTCGTCATAGCATTTCATATCTCAATGATACAGCACACTAGTTAGAAGTGCATGGATGTTCTAAAGGACGAAGCTAAACAGGCAGATGCCGGCTAGGAAAGTGGGAGAGGGGGGTGGGAGCAATCACAGAAGAGAAATCATTATGAGGCTAGGTGGCAGGTCCATCAGACCTGCGAGAATGTGAAGGAGGTGGTCTCTACAGCAAAACTCCTCTTCAAATCGAATCACAATCTGTAATTTTTTTGGTGAATATTTTTTCATGTTACCACATTGATCAAAATAATGCCGATTGAGTGAGGCTGAACAAAACTAATAGAGTGGCCAAGGCCGTTCAATGTCTTCAGCGATCAGGTCTATGTCTGACTTATTTCTTAGCCATTCCGGGGCACCTTCCATTCCATGGCAGTATCGGAACTCCACTTGCAAAAGCCTTGGCAGTTCCCTCAAAGACTTGGGCACTCCAGCCAGCCTAGGCAAGCATATCAGCTGCAACCACTCAAGCAATGTAAGCGACCCCAGATCAGCTGGTAACCGCTCAAAGTTTAAGCAGTCTTCTATGGTTAACCTAGACAGACGGGGAAGCTGGGGAAATGAGCCAAGGAGGTTGCGGAGTCGGTGGAAGGAGGGGAAGAGAGTGGGGAAGGGTAACGAGGTCCAATTGGTGGAGACGGAGGGGGGTGAGGCGGGGCAGAAGGCCGATGGTTGACGGGAGGAGTTGCAGGGATCCGCAACGAAAGCCTGGACGCCAAGGAATGTCTTGGACTAGGCGTTCCTAGAGAGCCCCTCTGCTTCTTCGCCACTGGCACCTCCTCGTGCCCTTCCCCCTCCCCCTCTTGCTCCTCCTCCTCCTCCTCCTCCTCCTCCTCCTCCTCCTCCTCCTCCTCCTCCTCCTCCTCCTCCTCTTGCTCTTCCTCATCCTCCTCCCCCCTATCTCCCTCATACTCCTTTCCCTCCTCTCCCTCCTTCTCCTTCCCCTGTTCTTCCTCATGATCCCCTCCCTTCGTATCCCCTGCCTCTTCTGATCCTTCATCTATGATGGCTACACGCGAATTACAGTCTTGAATGAGGAGCGATTGCAGGGAGGAGAGCAGGCAGAGAGAGGAGGGGAGGGAGGTCAGCAGGGGGCAGTGAGAGATGTGTAAGTGAGTGAGGGAGGGAGCGAAGAGGGAGAGGGAGTGGGGGATGGTGGGAACATTAGAGAGGTGTGAGAGAGTGAGGGTGGCGAGGGAGGGGAGGGAGAAGAGGGAGTGAGGGAGGTGTATGATGCAGGTGTTGTGCCTCAAGCCAATGTGGAGCGATACCAATGCAGTCTGAAAACCTGCGGCTGCTGGGGGTGCGGCCACAGGTTCAGCTAGTGAGCGGCGTAGCGAACGGCGAACGGCAACAGAAAATGGGGTGCACTGGCATAGATCATGGAGGTGCGAGCCACCTCCATGACCAAACCAATGCGTCGCTCTGCGACCCCATTCTGCTGCGGAGAGTTCGGAAAGGTGAACGTCTGGGTGATGTTCTCCGCACAACAGAAACGACCAAGGACACCAGAGGCAAGCTCGCCACCATGGTCAGAGTGAAGACGCAAGACAGGGAGACCGCGGTGGACACGCGCAGAGACAAGCCACGGGATGAGAACGGCAGGCACGTCAGCCTTCCGCTCCAGGGGAAACACCGTGGTGTAGCGGGTGTAGTCATCGACAAGCACAAGGAAGTAACGCTCTCGACGCGGCCCATGGACGGGGGCGGGGCCCCAGACGTCCATTTGTAGAGTCCGTAGTGGTGCGGCGGTAGGGGAAAACGAGGAGGAGTGAGGGGCACGGCGAAGCCGACACTTGACACAGGGGGTGCACGGTGGCGCTGGGGAGGAGGGCAACTCAAGGAACGACCCTGGGAGACCTAGGACAAGACCGTGCTGGGACATGTCACGCAGACGCGGGAGTGCAGGGTGACCTAGACGGTGGTGCCACAGGAGTGTCAGGTGAGTGAGCGACCGACAGGAGCAGGCACCGGCAACCTGGGTAGACGCAGCCACCTGAGGTGACGTCCCAACCGAGGGGGTCGCGGTGTCCAGTGTGAACAATCCGGACACCGGGTCCCGGGGGAACGTGGCGAGGGGGGCACCAGTTGCGGCCTCGGTACAGACAGCGTACCGCTCGTGACCAGGGAACGTAGTGGTGACGCCAAGGTGCTGGAGGCAGCCGACACCAACTAGGTTCCTGGAGAACGAGGGGATGTGCAGGCCTCTAAGAGAGCCCGAAGGAACCGCCGGACAGGGAAGGGTGGTGGAACTGCGGGCGAATACCGGGCCGGAGGAGGGGTCAGCAAGAGAAACTGTAGCAGGAGCAGGAAGCGGGGTCAGCGTAGTGGAGTCGCGAAAGAAACACCGGGAAGCGCCAGAGTCCAGGTAGAAGGAGAGCGCAGCAGCGGCGGCCGGAGTCAGAGCAGCGACGGAAGAACCAAGGCTAAACAATGCAGGGGATCCTACGCCTGACGCAGCAGGGGAGGCACGACTAGACACGCCTACACTAGGCAACAAGGGGTAGTAAGAAGTAGTCACACTAGAATCATCAGCATACATTACATGCAGGGCAGCAACAATCTCATCCATGTCTGTATCAAAGATCTGAACACTACGGCGAAGCAAGCTGTGCCAGTCAGGGAGGTCGGGCGACGGGCCGAAGCGCTGACGAAAGAGGTCGTCCAGGCAACGGAAACAGCGGACGGAGGTGTGACCGATCTTACCGCAAACGAAGCCAGGGCGAGGACAGGTCTGGAGCTGGTACTGACAGCGTCCGTCACCCAAACCGCCACCTGACAGTCCACCACGCGCAAGACTACCACATACAGCGCCACCACCAGCGCCATGCCACCCGGGCGGGAGACCACCCACCCGCCTTTGCTGCTGCGGCTGCTGCAGCTGCTGCGGCTGATGCGAGGGCTGCTGCTGCGGCTGGTGCTTGTCCGGCTGCGACACCTGCGGCTGCTGAGACGGCTGCTCGGCTACACCTATCAGGGTCCGCTCGTCAGCGCTACCACTAGGCGACCCGACTCCACCACCACCTGCACCTGCACCGCCACCCCCACCGGTGCGCCCAGTCTTGGGGCGGCGGCCCTTCCCGGAACGGATCAGCGCTGCAGCGGCAGACTCAGCCACAGCAGCAGAACTGTCAGAGAAGGTGCACTGAGCGGGGGCACAACTCTGAAAGATAGGGACCGACACAGTACCGCTGGTCTGGGCGATAGAGCGCTGGCGGGTCTCTATGGCAGACAGGGTGTCCACAAAGTCAGTGAGGGTGAGGTCACCGGGGTGGATGCTAAGGAAGCGGTCGCGGGCAGTGGCAAGACGGTCAGGGAGGCGGGTGGCAAGCAGGTAGAGGGCAGAGCAGAGGGGCGGCTGAAAGGCTCTAAGCTGAGTGTCAGTGCAGGTAGCACGCCAGGTTGCGTCTATTGTGCGCAGGTGAGCAGCGAGGTCACCGACAGTAGGGAAAGACGCAAGGTCAGGGAAAAGCATCGGTAGGATCAGGCGACCTACAGAGGCAGCAAGCGGGGTGGAATAGCGCTTGACCACGGCATCAAGGAATTCCTGCACAGTCGTGACTGACCTAAAGTGGGGGCGTTCAGACAGGGGGAGGGCATGACTGATCGCAAGCTGCGCGACGGCGTCACGCGATAGCCAGACTGAGCGGGCAAGGGCAACAGCTGCGGCGGACTCACGGTCAGCGGACGAGGGGTCAACAGGCAGGGGAGCAGGGGGGTCAGGGCAGGGGAGCATACCGTCAAGGTGGACCGCCAGGGAGTGGCCGTCCTGCCGCTGACCAGTGAGGTGGTGGCGAAGGTCGACCAGCCATGTGTCAAACTCGAGCGGCTGGCCCTCTGCGTCGAAGCGGAGCACGGGGTCCGCCATCAGGAGCGATGCAGTAGCGGTGCAGTGCTGTGCAAGGCGGTGCGGAGCAGTGCTGTGCGGTGCAGAGCGGTGCAGTGCGGTGCAATGCGGTACTGTGCGGTGCAGAATGGTACAGTGCGATGCTGTGCGGTGCAGTGCGTGCTGTATGGTGCAGAGCGGTACAGTGCGGTGCTGTGCGGTGCTGGAGGCCGGCGACGGGCCGGGCAGTAGGGCCGCTAGAAACGGGTGCGCTGGGGCCTGCTGGAACGGGTGCGCGAGGGGCCGACTAGAGCGAGTGCGAGGGGCCGGCTGGAACGGGCGCTAGGGGGCGAGGGGCCGGCTAGGACGGGAGCTGGGGGCCGGCGGAAACGGGCGCGGGGCCAGCTCGAACGGGCGCTAGGGGGCGAGGGGCCGGCTAGAGCGGTCGCGAGGGACCGACTGGGAACGGGCGCTAGGGGCCGGCTGGGGTGGACGCACGGGCCGGCTAGGAAAGGGCGCTAGGAGGCCGGCAGGAACGGGCGCGAGGGGCCGGCGTGCACGGGCGCGAGGGCCGGCTAGGACGGGCGCGAGGGGCTGGCTAGGATGGGCGCGAGGGGCCGGCTACGACGGGCGCGAGGGCCGACGAGGACGGGCGCGAGGGGGCCGGCTAGGACGGTCGCGAGTGGCCGGCAGGACGGGCGCGAGAGCCGGCTAGGACGGGCGCGAGGGGCCGGCTAGGACGGGCGCGAGGGCCGGCTAGGACGAGCGCGTGGGCCGGCTAGGACGGGCGCGAGGGGCCGGCTAGGACGGGCGCGAGGGCCGGCTAGGACGAGCGCGAGGGGCCGTCAGGAACGGGCGCGAGGGGCCGTCAGGAATGGGCGCTAGGGGCCGGGGGGGAACGGGCGCGCGGCTGGCTAGGAACAGCGCGTCTAGGGGAATGGGCGGCTAGGACCGAGTGCAGAAGCGTGGGCGGGCAGCGGGACCTACCTACTGCTGATACCATCTTACAACAGAATAATAATTAGAATAGGAGGGTACAAGGTAATATAAGCTAGAGAGTTGTACCGTCTAAGGTACAAACCTGTATAGTCTACAGTAGCTTACTAAGATACGTTTGACAGCCACTTGCCACCACGATCTGATAGAAGGTGACAACTTGTGACGCAAGCAACCTGTGACTGTTTGCCTGCATTGTGGCATGACGATAGTCCTCCTCACCATATACGCGATCATGTGCAAGAATCGTCAAATTTTGGCACAAAAGAACAGTCTACAATACAGTTCAATTCCACTTCATGAACATAAAAGTGTCATTCCATAACCTCCGGCGTTATACAAAATGTGCCTTTAATTATACCCCATCGAAATTTTACATGGGTTTTTACCAACACCCTGGGTGTTTTATCAGGGGGAATACAGTACGAGTACAAGGGTTCATCAAGACTTCCACTGTGCTATCAAGCACTCTGTTACAAGGACAGTCATTTGAAAATATCCTAGGGCTGGGGGCATACGCTGACAGGTTTCATTGCGAACCTCTGGGAAGAGGGTTTTAGAATAGCAGAATGTTTTATGCTAGGAGGAAAAATATTGAGAGAGAAGAGAGTTTGGACTAGAAGAGAGAGGGATACATGAAGGGGGGTTCTACCATCTACAATAGGATCCAGTAACACCTACCATGCCTATAATTATATACATATATAATATATAATTCAATAGAGGGCTCACTTGTAGCTATTTGTATATTGTAACATCCTGCTTGCAAGTTTTCGCACGAGCCTTGTTAACATCCACTAGGTAACGTACAACAATGTACATGTATACTTGTGGAGGATCTTGACCATGTTCTCTTCCTGCGGGCTTTATGTGCAGTGAGAGATTGTAGTGCAGTATTTGCGGTAGTGCGTCATTCTAATTCGCGATAGTGTTCTCTCGTAGTCTCACTTCCACCACAATCCTGCATACAATCACAGGGCCATCCCACCAGCTCCGTGCCAAATCTCTTAGGGCGTGCATAAAGTGATTCAGTAAGGGCGTGTCCAGCGCGTTTAGATTGCCCCAACACGAGTTTTCGACGTTTTTTGAACACCTCGAAAAATGATACGCCAAGTGTGAATGTGTTGAGGTACGCCAAAACGCGCGGACACGAGCCCCGCCCGTGCCTCGACAAATGAGTGGGTGCGCAGCGCGCACATAACAGACTGACACGCGAAAACATCAGGGTAACCGGAGTTCGCCACGGGAAAGAGGCCCCGCCCGGTTTCGTGAATACGCATTACGCGCCGCGACTCCACCCAGGGGGAAAAAAATGGAGGGCACAATTTCCCCCGCGCATGAGTAAAGTGAGTAAACGAACGCGCTGGACACGCCTAAAGAACCAAGAATCCATAAGTTTTTTCGGTGAAGAACCATTCTGAAACGAACAGAACCGTGTAGCGTGATTCACTTTATATACGCCCTTACAGCAGTACATTACTTGCCCCGCGATTGAGCAACCAGCAAGCCTGCCCGACTCATGACGGCCAGCGGCACATACAAGCATCGCCTCCCCGCCCCAGCAGGCGAGACTGCAAGCGCGCTGATTCCACTCGTCCGAGATGCCGCTGTTCCTCGCGTCCGAGTGACCGTTCCCCTCGCGACACGCCCTCGCCTTGCAGCCCGCGAACCAGCATCGCGCGAAGCACCTCGGGTGTGCGAAGCCGCACGTCGTGTCGTGTGCGGCGCTGCCAGCGTGCCACGCGGTGTGTGGCAGCGCGGTTGAATTCGCTGCCAGCTCGCTCCAGACGACGAGCTCTCGTTGCACTGCTATGGCGCCCGCCGTCGTGGCGCCGCCGGCAGGCTGCCGCGTCACTCCGCCTGGTGCCCTCTCCTGCGCGCCTTTCCCCGCCCCCCGTTGCCGCAGCTCCGCCCTCCCCGGACCCACTGCTCGCTGTGCGCCCGCCCCGCGCCACCACGCCCGGCCCTTCGTCCGCGCGCTGCAGCCGCGCCAACCACGCCTCGGCGCGCCTACTATGGCTCCTCGCCCGCCTCAGCTCGGCGCGCTAAGCGGCTTGCGCCGGCCGCTGTCCGCCCACTGGCGCAACTCGCGACCGCCCAATCATCCGCCGCCCCACGCCCCCAGGGCGGCGCTAGCGGCGGAGTCGCCTTCCAGCGAGGGCAGCCGATCGGATGTGACTGTAGCGGGCGGCGCGGAGGAGCAGCTGAGGGCGTCTGCAGTGGTGGAGCGCGCGCGCGAGGGGGAGGCGTTCGAGTGGAGCAAGGCGTGGTACGCCGTGGGCGCGGCGGGGCAGATGGACCCCACCCGCCCGCACGCCGTGACGGTGGTGGGGCGGCCGCTGGTGCTGTGGCGCGACTCCCACCACTCCTGGCGATGCTTCCTCGACCAATGCCCGCACCGCCTCGTGCCGTTGTCCGAGGTAACGTCTGCCCACACTTTCGAGGGCAGTCCTGCAGTCACCCTTTCCATTCACTTGATTCTCCTACCAATGCCCGCACTGCCTAGTGCTCTCATCAAAGGTAGCCCATGCATGCGCCACACGGACGGAGCCCTCTTTCTTGTCCCAGGAAAGTCAGGCCGACACGTTCTCTCTGCCTCGCGCGCCTGCTGCCTCCACCATTGCCTGCTGCCTCCACCATCGCCTGCGCCATCGACATGGGCGCGCCATCGTCCCACGTCACATCACACCATGCAGCCTTCGTCTCCCCGCGCTGCCACGTACCGTCCGTCCCGCCGCCCCGATGGCATGCCGTGCACTCACCGCCCCCATGGCATGCCGTGCTCTCACCGCCACCGCCCCCATGGCATGCCGTGCCCTATGTTGGAAAATACGCGTACTGCGTTTTATACGCTAGCGTATATACGCTTGCGTATATACGCTATACGCTTGGATTTGGGGTCCAATACGGCAGGAATACGCATGCCCGGGCAGGAAAAAAGGTTTGCCCGGGCAGGGTAACAAAACCAGGGGGCAGCAAGGAAGCCATGATGGTAGCGGCTAGGCTAGGGTTTCTGAAAACGTGACTCTCAAATGAGAGGCATTTTCTGAGGGGTCGAATTTTGACCTGCCAATTCCCTCCCTTTCACCGCACTCAACCCCCCCGTCTACAAAGTCAAATTGGCTTCCAGCCAACCAACTCCCTCCCTTTCACCGCACTGAACTCCCACCCATCTACAAACTCCAACCTTTCCTCACAAATGCTCGACTCTCCCCCCCATCATCTCCCCCATCACTTTGGTAGAAGACTAACAAGCACCGTAACTCGCGCAATCGCCGCCACCTAGCTAAGCACACCACCGTTTCGCTTCAGAGCTGAGATTTGGACGGAAATGGGGAACGGCAAACACGGGATGGCTTTCAATCACGTACAGAGCAGGCTGGGCTATGGGCAAAAAAGAATGGGCGAAAAAACCGCGACGTCGCGAAGTCGCGGAAAAAAAAAATATAAGTTTTTTTTTTCGCCGGGCAGCCCGGGTATCGCGTATCGCGTATTCCAAGCGTATCAGCGTATTGCGTATATTCGCAAGCGTATATACGCAATACGCAAAGCCTTCTGTGCGTATATTCCAACATAGGCCGTGCCCCATGGCATGCCGTGGTCGCATCGTTCTCCCGTCTTTCTGACATGCCACCTCCTTCCCTCGTTCCCTGCATCGCATCTCGCTTCATCCCCCGCAGGGCCGCATAGATGAATCCGGCTGGCTGGCGTGTTCGTACCACGGGTGGGCGTTTGCAGGGAGTGGGGCGTGCGAGCTCATCCCCCAGGCCGCCCCAGAGCAGCCGGGCAAGCCGCCCCGCGCCCTCGCCTCCCCCCGCGCCTGCGCCACGCCCTTCCCCGTGAAGGAGTTTCATGTGAGTGCCGCATGCTGGATGCTTTTGTGAGGGGAGTCTTTGAGAGCTCCATGCCCCTTTGAGAGCCCCGTGCCTCTTTGAGAGCCCCATGCCTCTTTGAGAGCCCCGGGCCTCTTTGAGAGCCCCATGCCTCTTTGAGAGCCCCATGCCTCTGTGAGAGCCCCATGACTCCTCGCCAGGGTGCTGACCATGCACGTTGGCAGTGCTGCTAGCGTTGCTCACACAGACGTCTCACTGACGTCTTGTGAGCGTGCGCCACATCACCTTGCACCTCGCACCCTTCACGCTTCACCCTTCACGCTTCACCCTTCACCCTTCACCCTTCACCCTTCACCCTTCACCCTTCACCCTTCACCCCTCCCCAACCCCCCAGGGCATCCTCTTCGTGTGGCCGGACGAGCACTCAGCCGACCAGGCGGAAGTGACGCCGCTGCCCCTGCCGGGCGGCGTGGACTGGGGCGAGTTCTCAGTGCTGCCGCACTACTGCCGGCGCCTGGCATACGGCTACGAGGTGCTGGGCGAGAACGTGGTGGACCTCTCGCACTTCCCCTTCGCGCACCACGGCGTTGGCAACACCACACGCGAGCAGGGCGGGCCCGTGAGCCAGATTGCAATCAAGGAATTCGTGAGTGGGGGTGGGAATATCATGCTGTGAGATTTGGGGAAGCAATCTGCACACACACACACACACACACACACACACACACACACACGCTCACTCATATGCACGTGCGTGCAAGCACATACACACATGAACACATACACACATGAACACATACACACATGAACACATACACACATGAGCACATACACACATGAGCACATACACACATGAACACATACACACATGAGCACATACACACATGAACACATACACACATGAGCACATACACACATGAACACATACACACATGAACACATACACACATGAACACATACACACATACACACATGAACACATACACACATGAACACTCCCTTGTGCACCTATATTGCTACATATGCATGTACCGACCCTGCATGCACTGGACTCCCCCTGCCTGTACCGCTCGTGCGTGCACCTCACAGGGCGTGCAGGGCTTCGAGGGCCCCATCCACGTGTTCGGCTTCCCCACGTACCTCCGCTTCCAGGCGCCGCAGCTCGTGTACTACCACAACACCATGAGGTGCGCGCCACAACACCATGAGGTGCGCGCCACAACACCATGAGGTGCGCGCCACAACACCATGAGGTGCGCGCCAGAACAGCATGAGGTGCGCGGCACAACACCATGAGGTGCGTGCCACAACAACATGAGGTGTGCGCCAGAACAGCATGAGGTGCGCGCCAGAACAGCATGAGGTGCGCGCCACAACACCATGAGGTGCGCGCCACAACACCATGAGGTGCGCGCCAGAACAGCATGAGGTGCGCGCCAGAACAGCATGAGGTGCGCGCCACAACACCATGAGGTTCGCGCCACAACACCATGAGGTGCGCGCCACAACAACATGAGGTGTGCGCCAGAACAGCATGAGGTGCATGCCACAACACCATGAGGTACTACCGGCCCCTATTCTCGCCCGCACTATCGGTACTAGTGTAAGAGCTAGAAAGAATTTCTTGGCAAAACATGTGGGATTGGGGTACATAGCAAAACGTGTTGGAGCGGAAACTCGTGGGAATTTCTGATGGTCGATTGGTCCAAGGCCAAAAAATACTGGGGTCGTATAATATGGCCTGTATTTTCCAGTTGTTTTTCCTGTATTTTCCAGTTAATACTGCGACCGCTTTTCCAGTCGTTTTTTTCCGACATTGGTCCAACGGGTGGGTAAACGTTTAGCGACATTGTTCACGATTTTATAGGCGTGGGTAAACGTTTAACGTTAATAAATGCGGTATACACAGAGATGTGACCTCATGCCCGCTCACCAATCCTTCTCCTCCTCCTCCTCCTCCTCCTCCTCCTCCTCCTCCTCCTCCTCCTCCTCCTCCTCCTCCTCCTCCTCCTCCTCCTCCTCCTCCTCCTCCTCCTCCTCCTCCTCCTCCTCCTCCTCCTCCTCAGCAATTGGCTTTTGGGGCTTAGCAGCCACCCCAAGGCATGCAGGAGGTTGTGCAGCCGGCCATCCCACCACCGAGCACTGTTTTCTGTGATTGAGGCAAGGAATGCAGCCTTGTCCTTGGCATAAGGCGCCCTGGTTTTCTTCACAGTGAAGGAAGGCGTCTGTGAAGCAAGCGAGAAGGGTGTGCGGGGTTGAAGGCTGTGGCCAAGGAATTTCATGGGAGGATTGGGAAGGTGAAGCCGGAGCAAGGAAGTACACACACGGCAGGCCATGCACAGGCATGCGCAGCCAGGAAGGTGGGTTTCTTTCCCGCTGCCTCTGCCACCTCATTTGTCATGATAATTGCCTCAAGTATGTGGCCATAGATCTTGCCCACGAGCAGATATCTCTTGCCCACGAGCAAAGATCTCTTGCCCACGAGCAAAGATCTCTTGCCCACGAGCAAAGATATCTTGCCCACGAGCAAAGATCTCTTGCCCACGAGCAGATATCTCTTGCCCACGAGCAAAGATCTCTTGCCCACGAGCAAAGATCTCTTGCCCACGAGCAAAGATCTCTTGCCCACGAGCAAAGATCTCTTGCCCACGAGCAAAGATCTCTTGCCCACAAGCAAAGATCTCTTGCCCACGAGCAAAGATCTCTTGCCCACGAGCAAAGATCTCTTGCCCACGAGCAAAGGTCTCTTGCCCACGAGCAAAGGTCTCTTGCCCACGAGCAAAGATCTCTTGCCCACAAGCAAAGATCTCTTGCCCACAAGCAAAGATCTCTTGCCCACGAGCAAAGATCTCTTGCCCACAAGCAAAGATCTCTTGCCCACGAGCAAAGATCTCTTGCCCACGAGCAAAGATCTCTTGCCCACAAGCAAAGATCTCTTGCCCACGGCTCTCAGCACCTCGTAGGCCGGTGTCATGAGTTTCTGCACCATCCACACGGACTCCCAAAAGGTGTTCTCTCCCGAAATTTTCTCCTCTTGTGCGTCTTGGAAACAGTCACATCTCTCCACTCGTCACGTACCACCATTCGCCGCATCTCTCTTCTTTCCTCTAGAAATATGGTAAACATGATGACCTGCGTGCCCCTGGTTTCATCCGGGTTGCACCCTGGTTCCACCTAGACATGGGCAGATTAAATCGCATCGCATCGCGTTTAATCGCGTTTTTGCGATGGCGATTTTTTTTTTTTTAAAATAAATAAATCGCGCGATGCGATGATTTAATTATCGCGCGATTTAATTTAAATCGCGTTTTAATCGTGCTGAAAATCGCGATTTAATTGCGATTTGCGATGTTTTAAAAATCGCGCGCGATCTGTCGGTGGCCAAAATTCCATCGGTGTTGTTTTTTTCCGGAATTCTGAGGTGTTTTTTTAATTGAAGTAATATGCGATGCGATTTAAAATCGTATCGCGCGATTTAAATAAACATCGCACGCGGTTTAAATAACCATCGCGCAGAAAATGTGATGTGCGATTTATTTAAAAATAAAATAGAAATCGCGCTATGCGATATTAAATCGCATCGCTTTTTTTATTCATCGCGCCCCTGTGCGATGCGATTTAAATTGCAATCGCATTTTGATCGTGTCTAGTTCCACCCTAGTTGCACCTTGGTTTTACCCTGGTTCCACCCTAGTTGCACCTTGATTTTACCCTGGTTTCACCCTAGTTGCACCTTGGTTTCTCCCTAGTTGCACCTTGGTTTCACTCTAGTTGCACCTTGGTTTCACCCTAGTTGCACCTTGGTTTCACCCTGGTTTCACCCTACTTGCACCTTGGTTTCACCCTGGTTTCACTTTAGTTGCACCTTGGTTTCACCCTGGTTTCACCCTAGTTGCACCTTGGTTTCACCCTGGTTTCACCCTAGTTGCAGCCTGGTCCCACCCACACTAAGTTCCACCCCAGCGACCTTGTTTGCCACATATTTCGCCTCCTTCGTTCACCTTCACTTCCTCCGCACTCTCCCTCCCTCCTGTGCTCATCGCCCTCCCCCCCTCCTACCGGCCCCTGTTGGGCAAGGTTCGGCAGCGAGGCAGGGTTGCCCGAATCACTGCATCCCAACGCATTCACCCTGTGCCATGTCGACATGACGCCGTCTGCAGACGGCAGTAGCACCATGCTCACCATGCAGCAGCCGATTCTTCCTTCCTCTGCCTCTACACCTTCCCCGCATTCTCCCCCCCCCTCCCACCCCCGTCCTCCCTCCCCTTCTCTGCTCCCTGCTTCGCTTCAACACCCCCCCTGCAGCCCACGCCCGCCCAAGTTCTCCTTCCCGTGGCAGAGGGCGGCGCCCTTGGCCCCCACGGAGTACCTGCTGCTGCTCTACATAACGCCCAGCGCGCCCGGCAGCAGCATGGCGCTGCAGGTGCAGCTGCTGAGGCGCGGCGACAGCAAGCACCTGCCCTCGCTGCCGCCCTGGCTCATGCACCTGCGCAACCACCAGGTGTTCGACGGTGAGTGCGGGGTGCGCATGCTGGTGAGATTCGCCATGAGAGTGAATGGGGGGTGAGAATGGGGGGTTAGAAAATGGGGGTTGAGAGAATGGGGGGGAGCGAATGTGGGCGAGAGAATGAGGGCAAGAGAATGGGGGCAAGAGCATGGGGGTGAGAGAATGGGGAGTGAGAGGCTGGGGAGTGAGAGGGTGGGGGTTGAGGTGATGGGGGGTCAGAGGGTGGGTGTTGAGAGGATAGGGGGTTAGAGGATGGGGGGTGAGAGGATGGGAGGTGAGAGCATGGCGGGTGAGAGGATGGGGGGTGAGAGGATGGGAGGTGAGAGGATGGGGGGTGAGAGGATGGGGGTTGAGAGGATGGCGGTGAGAGGATGGGGGGTGAGAGGATGGGAGGTGAGACGATGGGGGGTGAGAGGATGGGAGGTGAGAGGATGGGGGGTGAGAGGATGGGAGGTGAGAGGATGGGGGGTGAGAGGATGGGGGGTGAGAGGATGGCGGGTGAGAGGATGGGGGGTGAGAGGATGGGAGGTGAGAGGATGGGGGGTGAGAGGATGGGGGGTGAGAGGATGGCGGGTGAGAGGATGGGGGGTGAGAGGATGGGAGGTGAGAGGATGGGGGGTGAGAGGATGGGGGGTGAGAGGATGGGGGGTGAGAGGATGGGGGGTGAGAGGATGGGGGGTGAGAGGATGGGGGGTGAGAGGATGGGGGGTGAGAGGATGGGAGGTGAGAGGATGGGGGGTGAGAGGATGGCGGGTGAGAGGATGGGGGGTGAGAGGATGGGAGGTGAGAGGATGGGGGGTGAGAGGATGGGGGGTGAGAGGATGGGGGGTGAGAGGATGGGAGGTGAGAGGATGGGAGGTGAGAGGATGGGGGGTGAGAGGATGGGGGGTGAGAGGATGGCGGGTGAGAGGATGCGGGGTGAGAGGATGGGGGGTGAGAGGATGGGAGGTGAGAGGATGGGGGGTGAGAGGATGGCGGGTGAGAGGATGGGGGGTGAGAGGATGGGAGGTGAGAGGATGGGGGGTGAGAGGATGGGGGGTGAGAGGATGGGGGGTGAGAGGATGGGGGGTGAGAGGATGGGAGGTGAGAGGATGGGGGGTGAGAGGATGGGGGGTGAGAGGATGGGGGGTGAGAGGATGGGAGGTGAGAGGATGGGGGGTGAGAGGATGGGGGGTGAGAGGATGGGGGATGAGAGGATGGGAGGTGAGAGGATGGGGGGTGAGAGGATGGGGGGTGAGAGGATGGCGGGTGAGAGGATGGGGGGTGAGAGGATGGGAGGTGAGAGGATGGGGGGTGAGAGGATGAGGGGTGAGAGGATGGGGGGTGAGAGGATGGGAGGTGAGAGGATGGCGGGTGAGAGGATGGGGGGTGAGAGGATGGGAGGTGAGAGGATGGGAGGTGAGAGGATGGGGGGTGAGAGGATGGGGGGTGAGAGGATGGGAGGTGAGAGGATGGGAGGTGAGAGGATGGGGGGTGAGAGGATGGGAGGTGAGAGGATGGTGGGTGAGAGGATGGGGGGTGAGAGGATGGGAGGTGAGAGGATGGGGGGTGAGAGGATGGGAGGTGAGAGGATGGGGGGTGAGAGGATGGGGGGTGAGAGGATGGGGGGTGAGAGGATGGGAGGTGAGAGGATGGGGGTTGAGAGGATGGGGGGTGAGAGGATGGGGGGTGAGAGGATGGGAGGTGAGAGGATGGGGGGTGAGAGGATGGGGGGTGAGAGGATGGGGGGTGAGAGGATGGGGGGTGAGAGGATGGGGGGTGAGAGGATGGGGGGTGAGAGGATGGGGGGTGAGAGGATGGGGGGTGAGAGGATGGGAGGTGAGAGGATGGGGGGTGAGAGGATGGGGGGTGAGAGGATGGCGGGTGAGAGGATGGGGGGTGAGAGGATGGGGGGTGAGAGGATGGGAGGTGAGAGGATGGGGGGTGAGAGGATGGCGGGTGAGAGGATGGGGGGTGAGAGGATGGGAGGTGAGAGGATGGGGGGTGAGAGGATGGGGGGTGAGAGGATGGGGGGTGAGAGGATGGGGGGTGAGAGGATGGGAGGTGAGAGGATGGGGGGTGAGAGGATGGGGGGTGAGAGGATGGGGGGTGAGAGGATGGGAGGTGAGAGGATGGGGGGTGAGAGGATGGGGGGTGAGAGGATGGGGGATGAGAGGATGGGAGGTGAGAGGATGGGGGGTGAGAGGATGGGAGGTGAGAGGATGGGGGGTGAGAGGATGGGGGGTGAGAGGATGGGGGGTGAGAGGATGGGGGGTGAGAGGATGGGAGGTGAGAGGATGGGGGGTGAGAGGATGGGGAGTGAGAGGATGGCGGGTGAGAGGATGGGGGGTGAGAGGATGGGGGGTGAGAGGATGGGAGGTGAGAGGATGGGGGGTGAGAGGATGGCGGGTGAGAGGATGGGGGGTGAGAGGATGGGAGGTGAGAGGATGGGGGTGAGAGGATGGGGGGTGAGAGGATGGGGGGTGAGAGGATGGGGGGTGAGAGGATGGGAGGTGAGAGGATGGGGGGTGAGAGGATGGGGGGTGAGAGGATGGGGGGTGAGAGGATGGGAGGTGAGAGGATGGGGGGTGAGAGGATGGGGGGTGAGAGGATGGGGGATGAGAGGATGGGAGGTGAGAGGATGGGGGGTGAGAGGATGGGGGGTGAGAGGATGGCGGGTGAGAGGATGGGGGGTGAGAGGATGGGAGGTGAGAGGATGGGGGGTGAGAGGATGAGGGGTGAGAGGATGGGGGGTGAGAGGATGGGAGGTGAGAGGATGGCGGGTGAGAGGATGGGGGGTGAGAGGATGGGAGGTGAGAGGATGGGAGGTGAGAGGATGGGGGGTGAGAGGATGGGGGGTGAGAGGATGGGAGGTGAGAGGATGGGAGGTGAGAGGATGGGGGGTGAGAGGATGGGAGGTGAGAGGATGGTGGGTGAGAGGATGGGGGGTGAGAGGATGGGAGGTGAGAGGATGGGGGGTGAGAGGATGGGGGTGAGAGGATGGGGGGTGAGAGGATGGGAGGTGAGAGGATGGGGGGTGAGAGGATGGGGGGTGAGAGGATGGGGGGTGAGAGGATGGGGGGTGAGAGGATGGGGGGTGAGAGGATGGGAGGTGAGAGGATGGGAGGTGAGAGGATGGCGGGTGAGAGGATGGGGGGTGAGAGGATGGGAGGTGAGAGGATGGGGGGTGAGAGGATGGGGGGTGAGAGGATGGGAGGTGAGAGGATGGGGGGTGAGAGGATGGGGAATGAGAGGATGGGAGGTGAGAGGATGGGAGGTGAGAGGATGGGAGGTGAGAGGATGGGGGGTGAGAGGATGGGGGGTGAGGATTTGGGCTGTTTTTTACCTCATTCTCAGACCCTCCTTCCCACCGCTCCCCCGCCCTCCCCAAATGAGACCTTGTTTGTCACACCCCCATATGCTCCGCTCTTCCTTCGTAGGCTTTTGATTTCCCTCTTGTTCCGTCAACCCTTGTTCCCCCTCAAGCGGTCCATGTAGAGAAACATGCAAGATATAACGGGGCAGGAAACATGCAAGTAGGACAGCCCTAGCGAATGTTTTCCTCTTCTCCCCGAGTCCCCCCACTCCCCCTCCAGCGTTTGGAGGAGG